TTGCAAGCGAAACAAGAATAGGAACCGAAATACCGGATTTAGGGGGATGAGATCTGCCGGCGTTTGAAAGTCCCTGACCCGGTGGAGTTGATGTATGGAGCTGCCTGTCCGTCTTACAAATCAACAGTCAACAATATAGGCATACGTCACAGAAACACATACTTCTGACATTTCGCAGCCCCTGGCCCAATATAATTTTCTGGGTGCGATATTGCGTGGCATTGTTGGTTATCACTTGGTTTGTCAGCAAGGAATACGAAGGGCCGAAACACCGACATAAGCTGACGATCCGATGCCGAAGTAAGTGGTTTCTAAGCAACATCATCTATGATGGAGGCAACAATTGTAGAAAGCCATCGAATTAGCAGATGAATCTCGTATAAAAGGACAAACAGGATCAATAATAGAAACCCACTCCAATCAAAGGCTCACACATCAAAAACCACAGACCCCTTTCTATACAATAACCACCACAAGTACCTACACCATTCAGCATGTCTCTCAAACCCATCACCCTCTGGGGCCACACCCAGGGCCCCAACCCCTGGAAAGTGGCCATGGTACTCGAAGAACTCGAACTCCCCTACAAAACAACATACGTAGCTTCTGGAGACGTCAAAAAAGAACCTTTTACCCTCGTCAACCCCAACGGCCGCGTCCCCGCCATCGAGGACCCTAACACGGGAATCACACTATGGGAGTCCGGCGCCATCATTGAATATCTGACCGAAACATACGACAAAGACAACAAAATCAGTTTCCCGGCCGGTACCCCCGAGTTCTTCGAAACGAAACAATGGCTACACTTCCAGATGAGTGGGCAGGGCCCGTACTTCGGTCAGGCTGTTTGGTTCCGACGACACCACCCTGAAGTGGTTCCTAGTGCTCAGGAGAGATACAAGAAAGAGGTTCTTCGGGTGTCATGGGTGCTGGACAGCGTCCTAAAAGACAGGGAATATCTGGTCGGTGGACGGTATAGCTACGCGGACATCTCGTTCGTGCAGTGGTACAATTACTTTGGAGCCGCTACGGATAATGATGTTTATCTGGAGAAGGAATACCCGAACCTTTACGCCTGGCTGGAGAAAATCAAGGCAAGACCGGCTATCTCTAAGACGGCCAATCTACAGAAGGAAGCAATTGCGAATGAAACGCACTGAGTGGATTTGGATTCGGTGTGTCATTCAACATAGGATGTCTATCGGGAGCTTGAGATGGGTCGAATATGGGGACCATGTATGTAGTATATTAAATTTCGAAAACAATCAGTAATTCTTTCCTATACCTTGGATATCTTGCAACCAAAGCAATAGAATATAGATTGCGATGTCAGAACAGAGTAGGGCTGGTAGGGAATAGATCGATAATGTGGAGAGAAGAAGCTCCATCCGCGATGGGGAAGAGCCTGGTAACGACTAGTCCAAATACGGCTAGCGCATCTTATGGTCTTGGCGCGAGTTTTTGGAGCGTCGGTCCGTGTCGCGACAGTCGCTCTGCCTCCAAGCCACTCATCCATCAATCTCTCGTCGCTGTCTGGTGGAGTCATCCACCCCCATTCTATCTTGCATATCCCTAATACCCTTTTCTTTCACGTCTCTACCATATAGAGGGCCGCGTCCGCGCCCCGCCTACCTTTCTTCTGAGCAGAGCCAAGTCCCTTGCTCTCTGCCACCCGCGACCTCAGCTTCCCGTCGTCGACTATCGTGCCAACAAGATGGAAGACAACCAGGTTATGTCTGGTGGCGCCACTGAGGATGCTCAGGCTATTAGCGTGGCACAGGATGCCCCAGGTGATGTGATTACCACTTCCGGTGCGTTCTCCCTCTTTCCGCCCCTAAGGGGATTGGAACTTGCCAACATTCGCAATCGTGACACCCAGGATCGCAATCGCATCAGGGATCTCCTGAGAAAAAGACCGAAACTGGCCCCGATACTGATAACCCGCTAGATGCCCCCGCTTCACCCAAGCGCCAGAATGCCGATGGCGAACCCGAGGATGAGGAGATGGGCGGCACCGAGACGGAGACCAAGAAGGAGACCGATGGAGGCGAGGACCTCGCTGATGTTGCCGCACAGTCAGGCGCTGAAGGTGCTACAGATGAACAGCCGGCGCAGGCCAAGGCATCCATTGAAGCCTCCGCGCGCTCACATCTCGTTTCGCAAACCCACGCCATCATCCTCCCCAGCTACTCCACCTGGTTCGACATGCACCTCATTCACCCGATCGAGAAGAAGGCTCTGGCGGAGTTCTTCAACGGCAGAAACCGTAGCAAGACCCCTGCCGTTTACAAAGATTACCGTGATTTCATGATCAACACCTACCGTTTGAACCCTATCGAGTACCTCACAGTCACTGCGTGCCGCCGCAACCTTGCCGGAGACGTCTGTGCGATCATGCGCGTGCACTCCTTCCTGGAGCAATGGGGTCTCATCAACTACCAGGTAAGTATCCGCCCGGTGCCAACCTCAGTCCCGAGTTGCTGATGCCTTGACTCAGGTGGATCCCCAAACACGTCCGTCCAACATCGGCCCTCCTTTCACTGGCCATTTCCGAGTGGTCGCCGATACCCCCAGAGGCCTCCAGCCATTCCAGCCCGGACCCAACCACTTCGTCAAGCCCGGAAAGCCTTTGCCGGCCACGGATCGTGCAGCATCAGCCACCCCAGCTGCCAAGGCCGACCTGAACCTCGAGATCCGTCGCAATGTGTATGATGACAAGGGCAAGGAGATCACCCCTGCTACGGAGGACAAAGACAAGCAGACCAATGGCGAAGGCTCAACGAACGGTACGACGGGCGATTCGACCAAGGCGATGGAGAGCGCTTCCAAGGAACCGAGAAAGAAGTTCAACTGCTTCTCCTGTGGCATCGATTGTACTCGCCTCAGATTCCACTACGCAAAGGCGACACCAGCAACCGCCAACCCAGCTGCACCTGACACCAAGTACGATCTGTGCCCCAACTGTTTCCTTCAGGGCCGGATGCCGTCCAGCCACAGTGCTTCCGACTTCGTCAAGCTCGAAGACAGCCCATACTCGATTGCCCCCGACCGGGATGCTCCGTGGTCGGATTCGGAGCTTGTGCTATTGCTGGAGGGATTGGAAAACTTCGACGACAATTGGGAACAAATTGCCACTCACGTTGGATCCAGGACAAAGGAGGAGTGCGTGATGAAGTTCTTGCAGCTGGAGATCGAAGACAAGTATCTGGATGATATGCCCGAGGTTCGTGCAGGCAATGGGCGGGAGCCTATCAGCCAGACCGAGAACCCTGTCCTGTCCGTGGTTGCGTTCCTTGCACAGATGGCCGAGCCTGCCGTGGCCGCAGCTGCCGCTGGCCGCTCCGTGGAGGAGATCCGCAAGGAATTGAGAAAGCAGCTCGAGAAGGGCTCTGGAGCCCAAGACAAGGGCAAGGAGAAGGAAGGCAGTGCCACAGTCAAGGCCGAGGATTCCATGGAAGTGGACTCTGCTCGCGAGGAAGCAACCGAGCAAGCTGTCGAGGTCGCTGGCTCCGACAAGGGCAAGGCTTCCCTTCCCACTGTGGCCCTCGCGGCTTCCGCCGCTCGTGCTGGTGCTCTGGCTTCTCACGAAGAACGTGAAATGACCCGCCTGGTCTCATCGGCCGTCAACGTCACCCTCCAGAAGTTCGAGATCAAGCTGCAGCAGTTCAACGAGATGGAGGAGATCATCGAAGCCGAACGCCGGGAACTTGAGCTCGCTCGCCAGCAGCTCTTCCTCGACCGGATGGCCTTCAAGAAGCGCGTCAAGGAGGTCCAGGACACTCTGCAGGCCGTCAGCCTTCGGGGCCCTGGCGAGGAGACCAACAACATGCTCGCCGATGCTGCTACGACCGGGATCGGCAACCGCTTTAACTTCCAACCGGCAGGAGGTGACGTTAGAGGCGTGCAGCCGTTGAGTGCAGAAACAGGCGCTGACTACAAGACGTTGGACCTGTAATGTACCTATGAAAGGGAATGTTTCGCCAATGATGACATGCTTTTTTCCAACAGTTGGAGAGAAATTCAATAACCCTTTCCTTTCATTTCTAACGACCGGACGAAGGAGCCGACCGGGGTTGCTTTTTCAATAATATCCATTGTATTGTACAATATCATAGGGCTGGACAGGAGGAGTGAAGGAGAAGATGGGATGAATGAACCGTCAGGATGTATCTGACAGGGACAGACAAGATGGTAGTAAAGTGATGTGTGATGGATTGATGGATGGCTTGCACTATGATCTGGTCTGATTTTTTTTTACATTCGATTTACAATCCGCTAGGTAGGAAAAGGCGCAATTGTTTTGGGAGTTCAGAGCTAAGTATTGTATGCGTGTGCCTTGCAAATCGATGTTCTATTGTGACTGGTTCTTTATCCTGCTATTAGTAGTTTTCGGGTTCGCTTGCTAGTTAGGCTTGAGGGTGGTTAGTAGTCTTCCATATTGACTTGCTCGATGCTATGCTTAAATTCGTCACAATTTATTTTGCCCTACCTATATACTTGATATTTTGATCATAGCTTGCCACTTGTTGCCCCTACCTACCAACCACGGAAATCAAGAGGTACATCATGCTAAGTAGCCTGCACATAGCACTGAACAAGACATCAACGTCACTTCAACCTCATAACAGAGGTGTCAATTCAATAGATATCATTATCTCCTGACACAGAAGATGTGATACCTCAACACCGACTGTTGATCATCTCCATTGACGGACCAATAATGAACGAGCATATCGCTCCACTCATGTCACTGCCCGAGTACTTAGTATGACGTTCCTACTTACGGAGTACAGCACATACTATTGAACAGGGATTCATGGACCTGATCCGTCCGTTTGCTCACTGAAATGCAGTGGACGCGTCGGCGCGTGTTTCTGCTTAAGATTTCAGCTACTTCGTACTCGTCTTTGAGTTTAGTTTTTCTGTGCCTCTGATAGATTTTTACCTAGGCGTTATATACATTGGCTTATTACAAGCGTGTCGAACAATAATCTAGCGATATGCCTGCCCAGAAGAGAACCTCTACTGATATGATGGATCCTGCGATCGTTACTGGCCCTGATAAAGAGAATCAGCCAGCGGCAGGAACAGCATCACCGTCTGGAAATACGCAGAAAAGCTGCGACGAGATTCGGCAGGATATACGCGATTTCATCGCTTCAGGACAGATGAACGCCAACGAGTTCCAGCGCGCAATTGACGTGTCCCCGCGGTCACTTTCTGAGTTCCTGAGCCAGGAGGGCGTCAAGGGCGCCCGGTCGGCGACGTATAAGAACGCCTTGAAGTTTTTTGACAGCCGGAGCGGAGGACCTGTCGTGCCGTTGGCTGAGACTTAGCCTGCGGCAACTGCGGCAGGAAGTGCCCCGAAGAGGGCGAAGAAGAATCAGCCAGCGAGTCCGGCTGCGGTTGATCTTTCGGGTGTTCACTTGGATGGAGATGAGGATGGGAGTGTGCAGGTCTTTGAGACGTGCGATGTGGTGAGGAGGAAAATCCGGGCGCATTCGCGTAAGACCGGAGTGACGCAGGCGGGCTTCATGAGAGAGGCTGCGAAGACGGCGTACCCGCAGGGTACGAAGAGGCTGAATGCGAATTCGTTCGGGGAGTTTCTCAAGAAGAAGGGCCCTACCGCTGGGAGCTCAGGGGCGGTATTCTATGCCTCGTATGTGTATTTTGAGAAGTTGAGGATCAAAAATGGAAAGCCGAAGGACGCCTTTAGACTTGAGATGGAGAAGCTCTGGCCGAATGGCTTCGAGCTTGAGAATGTAGCTAACGGGAGGATGTGGTGTGGTCCCAATGTGAGACCCTGGGTTGACATATATGGGAAGGTGCACTTTTCGTGACTGTGACTGACGGCTCGTTTGCGGTCCATCTTGTTTGGAATTGTGTGTTGTGTCCTTTGTCACATACTCCATGATTGATTATGTTGAGTGGTTAATATTCATCCTGACGCTTCTTTTGGTTGTTCTTTGATTATCCTGCCATTGGCATCGATGCCTGCGAAGAGCTCAGACGCCGTGCTTTCGTCTAACTTCAGAGTCAACTTAGGTCCTGAGTAGAGTACGTCCCAGGTGAATGCGGGCTTTCCGCTTCTAGTATCCCAGTTCACGCGAGGAACTAGACAGGAGATGCGTTTCCAGAGCCTCTGCATGAGCCGTCGGGTGATGTTATGGGGCCGTCCGTCTACATAATTCTCGAATGTATCCCCTTTCTGCGGTCCCTCTGTCAGAAAGCCAGCATCTAGAGTAGACTCAGGGGCGGGAGAAGTCCCAACTGCCTTTCGTCGTTTGGGTGGCGCCCATGGTATAGTCTCCGACATAAGACCCTCCAACACCTTGAGCTCCGAGTCAGGCAGTGGTGGGAACAGATTATGTAGCGTCTGATTGTACCATTTCCTCCGAATGTTCCTGCGACGAGACGGAGCAAGCGGCTTCCCCCAGATATTCTCCGCGGGAACCACTGGCTCGACTTGCTTGGTATAGTACCCGGCATTCAGCGTCGTGATCATCGAGTTACGATTCTGAGCTTTCAACAGATCAACCATGACCGAAGGGGGCCGCCATCCATCCTCGAACATCTCTGGTGCTTCCTGTGCCACTGTCTGCGCATCCGCGGCATTCAATGCGTCCACTGCGTCCGCTGGTGTGACCAATGCTTGTATGAGCTCTTGTCTCCGTCGCCCTCTGCGGCCATAAGCCTGCTGCAAGACCTTTTCCAGCGGCTTTGTATATCCCTCATTGGCTCGTTTGAGTAAGGACAGTTGTTGTGTTGCTGACTTCCGGAGTAATAGAAGTCGATGTTGATCGGTCTCTTTCTTCTGGGTATACCGTCGGAATCGTTGGAGGATTTGGGAATGAAATGTAACTCTGGCGACGGGGTCAGGAAGATAGGAGCATTCGCGGAGTAAGGAGCGGAGAAGGTGCCGCCATGTTTCGGGAGGGATCTGGATGGCGGACATGGTGTCTGATGTTATGCCTTTATCTTCTAATCAATTCCTCTCCAAGCCCGGAGTTGATTCCGCAGCACCGCGAGGCTATCTAACAGAAGCAGCAGGCGGTGAAGACTAAACACCCAAACAGGCAATAGATGTTTTCGAGGCAGCGATACGCGAAATCGGGTTAGCCGCGAACGCGACCGGAGCGAATAACGAACGCCCCCGCGACTTCAATCAACCCATTCATCTCGTTCCTTTTACCCATTTTCTTCATGCAAGGCTATGTTGTACAGGATTACCTGAAAGAGCTGCAGATAGAGTGGCTTTTGCACTACTTGTAAAATTACTCCGGGCCGTTCAGGGCCTGACTGCCTCGCCAGAATCAGTTTCATTGACTTGTCTCATCCCTTCGCGGTCGGTGCGCTAGCCACGCGCCTCTCTCTTTTCGCGCGACGTTCCGAATTGCCTGGCCGGTCAAGTCAGACTGGAGCAGTAGATCCCAGGATAGGTGCAGTTCCCCACATGCTTTCGTGATTCTCTCATTCTGTCATGATGCTGTTCACTTGTTGAACTGGCCCTGCTATTGGCTTGTGGTACCTGCAATCCGTATTTATTAACCTTTCTTTACTTTTTCCTTCGACAGAGCAGCCAGCCTTGAGTCGGTGTCTGGGTCGGGCACCCTAACACTGCTAATTCACCGTTCCTTCAATGGCTTCCAATAACAACCACCCAGCTCGCCCGGGCTTACCCATGTCCTACTCCCAGAGCAGCATGAGCTCCGCCAATGGCATGGTATTTTCGCAATCGCAAATGGGCTCCTTCAACGCCTCCCAGTCGGTCTCCTCCACCCCTCGAGCTACGCCTCCCCCGAAAGGGTCGCAACAGTCGATGTCCTTTGGTTACTCGAATGGCCTTCCGCACGGCCCTCGGTCAAGTTTCGCAGGTTTTGAGGACATGAATGGATATGGGACAATAATGTACCATGAAGAGTTCAAGCCTCAGATTTACAGGGTCAGTTTTTCGTCATCTGCGCATCTTCGATCCCTCAAACGTTACTGACTCGCTTTGATGTGTCGACAGGCCGTGTACTCTAACGTCTCCGTCTACGAAATGGAAGTGAACGGAGTCGCTGTGATGAAACGTCGCTCCGACTCGTGGCTCAATGCTACGCAGATTCTCAAGGTTGCTGGTGTGGTCAAGGCGCGGAGGACAAAGACACTAGAGAAAGAGATTGCAGCTGGCGAGCATGAGAAGGTTCAAGGAGGGTATGGTAAATACCAAGGAACCTGGGTCAACTACCAGAGGGGCGTGGAGCTCTGCCGTGAATACCACGTCGAAGAATTGCTGCGACCCCTTCTTGAATACGATATGGGCGGCACAAATGGTACGGCGCAGGACTCACTCGACACCCCGACAAAGGAGCAAGCAATGGCTGCGCAACGGAAACGCCTGTACAGTGGGATGGATAACCGCGGCATGAGCCAACCTCAACAAGGCACATTCTTCCAGAACATCTCTCGCACGGCTGCGACGGCGGTAAATGCCATGAGCAAGGCTCGCTTTGACTCGCCTGCCGCTCGCGGAATTGATCAAAGGCGATCAAGTGTTATACGAAAGCCTTCGCACCAGATGAGCAGCCAAGATACCCACATACCTCTGAATAGTCAACAAAGCATGTATAGTGTGACGTCTGATGGTGGTTTCGGGAACAATTTCCAGAGCAACGGCCGCTATGCTATGCACGACGGTGCCAGCTTCGACCACGAGGAGGCAAATGAACCTCCGCGGAAGCGCGTTCGGTCTGCATCTCACCAGGCGCCGTCGTTTGGGATGCCCTACGAGCACTCGGCGGCTTCCATGGCTGAACCAACACCAACTGAGCCGAATGACTCCTTTTACCAAGATATGGATGTCTCAACATCGATAGTGGATGGTAGTAAGCGCGGGTTTGAGCCTTTGCCGCCCGCCACCACCCCGGAGAGGTTTCAAAAGATGAAGCTCATCATGACATTGTTCCTCGACAAAAAGACCCGCGATTTCTCCAGCCATCCAGCTTTGATGCAATTGACTGGGGAGGATCTGGAAATTCCGTTGGACGAATATCGGAACAATGCGCTACACTGGGCGGCGATGCTCGCTCGGATGCCTCTTGTCTATGCACTTGTCGAGAAAGGAGTTAGCATCTTCCGTTTGAACGGTGCAGGTGAAACGGCACTGCAAAAGTCCGTAGGAACGAGGAACAACCTGGATTATAGGAGTTTCCCGCGTCTACTGCAGGTGCTGGCTCCAACTATTGACATGGTCGATTACAGCGGGAGAACGATCCTTCACCACATCGCTGTTATGGCTGCTACCGGTGGTGGAGGTCATGTTTCTGCTAAACACTACCTGGAAGCATTGTTGGAATTCATAGTCCGCCATGGCGGTACGTCATTGAGCCGGCAAACGCCGAATGGTGCCACGGAAAATGGGCAAGGATTATCACAGGCTGGTGAGGTGATGACGCTCGGGCGTTTCATCTCTGAAATAGTAAATCTCCGAGATGACCAAGGAGATACAGCCCTCAACTTGGCTGGGCGTGCACGTTCTGTGCTTGTTCCCCAACTATTAGAAGTCGGGGCTGATCCTCATATACCGAATCACACAGGTCTTCGACCAGCAGATTACGGTGTTGGTGTGGACATGGTTGACGGTAACGCTCAGTCGCAGCAAGCTGGGAACGGGGGTGACTCCTTCATGGACCAGCTGGAGAAGACGAAGAAAGAAATATTGGATTGTAAGTGCTCCTGGATGAAAGTTGCGTATCAAAACTGACTTTAATAGCGACTGTGTCTCAAATCACATCAATTATCCAAGAGACATTGAGTGGTCTTGACAGAGATTTGGCCTCCAACCTGGCTAAGAAGCAAGAAAAGTTCGACCACTGGCACTCGAAGATTCGAGAGTCGGCCAAAGCACGACAGATCGAACAAAAACAGCTCGATGAGCTCAAATCCAAATCGTCCGACCGTATAGAGCTTAGTAGACGGTTTAAAAACCTGGAAAAGTCCTCTGATCACCTGCTGGTGATTCTGAAGGGGATCCAGGGCGATTCATTAGATTTGTCGAAGAAGTGCGCGATTGGGGACGCCGACAAAGAACACGGGCTCGACATTGCCGAGTTCGAGGCCATCTTCCCCGAAACATTCGACCCTGCCTCTGGATTCTCCGAGCAGCAGATGGCCTTCCTTCGCTCTCTCCCCACACCCGAAACCCTGCAACAAAAGGTCGAGAGTTATCAAAAGTTTAATGAGGATATATTGAATGAGGTCGAGCGCCTGAAGTCTAAAAACGTGGTTTTGGGCCAGAACTACCGGCGGATGGTCATGGCCTGTACGGAATGGACTGCCGAACAGGTGGATGAAGCTGCTGAGGGGCTGACACAATGTGTCAAGGAATTGAATGAAAACCCTGTCCCGGAAGATGAGGCTATCGAGATCTTGATGAAAGATCGTGGCCAGGACTGGTGAATTCTGTTAGGCGTGATATGAGGGAATGTTATGGTACATATGCCTGGTCCGAATCCCCTGATTCGTGGAGGCTTTTGGGAGCGATACAGCGATTCTTGTTTATTGTTGCTACCGGTTGGCTCTTGTAAATCAAGGAGCATTGTTTATACGGCAGGGCTGCGGTGTTTGAGCATGTTTGCTTGGATGTTTAACGCGTTGACGTCTGTATTTGCAGATACCCCCAGGGCACATATAATGGATTTTGACGGCTAGTCGGATGGCGATATACCCGACAGATGAATAGCTGTGCAATTGAATACAATCATCATCTCCTGGTCTTACTGCCTAATTGACCATTAATCAATAGTGCGTTTGCGAGTGTAGAAGTGCGTGGCCATAGCAACCATGGCGGTGGGAAGAGTGCTGCTTGCAGTTATAGCATACTGCCACGTCCTAGTATACGGCGTCAC